CTAATCCGCAACCAAGCGTCCCCAAATAGATGCCATGAGGCACGCTGGCTAATACGTTACACTACGTTTCTACGAAAAATATCAACTTCATTCTTGCAAAGCCGAATGTTCGCCATTCAACGGCAAACATAAAGATTGCGCAAAGAAATGGTGTGTATGCATAATTGAAAATAGTGAATTTCATGGAATAAAGACATATACAAACTCTTTGCCTGATTCGATTGGTCGCTACGATTGCGCGAAGAGCACAAATAATTTTATTACTTTTCCATGAGGAGAAGGCTAAGAAACTTTCAACTCCTACCAATGGTTTGGAGTTGGCGGGTGATTTTTCACTTTTCATCCCCCTCACATATGTTCCTTAACATAATATCCAAGACTCCCTCATTTATCCTTACTTTCACTTGGGATAGTTTCGAAAGTATAATTTATCCTCGTTAAAAAAACACACAGATTCTTTGGTAAAAAAAGATTTTCGATTAAGTGCACGAAAGGAGGCCAAAGCAATTGGCTAACCACTCCACAACGCCCAGGCAGTCAACAGTAAAAAACATGACTGATGAAACACAGAAACCTATAACTTAAATTCCTCATTCATTAATTCACATGTGAGAATGTAGTAGGTACATTACTTATAAAATAGTATCTAAAGCTTTAAAACTTTTTTCAGAATGGACCTTCTCACTCGAGACAAACTTTAATGTTCTCCCAAAATGAAATTTCTCTGAATGACATGATTAAAATATTTTCTGTCTGAAATTCATTAGACATCTTCTAGTTTAATGTAAAACCATATTTTAAATTTACACTGGAAATAATTGATAACCAAAACAGCAAAATATATTACAAGGCAAAACATAAAGCTCTTTGAGACGGCCCTGACATATTTCACGTTTTCAAATGTGATATTTATTTTTTCTCCATTATTTAAATGAACTTAATAGGATTGAATCTTTTGAATACTTGATTTAACATCAACAGAGTTAAGAAATTTCAAAATGTATAAAGAATTTGCCTCAAATGAAGTTGAAATTAAATTGATATTTCAACCAGATGATTATTTTAAAAGAACTGACAAGGGAGAAGGGAATGCGACTATTGCTCGACAAGAACATCTCAATAAGGTGTAAAAGCAATTTAAGGATTCTAACAATTACAAAACAATTAGTAAAACCAAAACTAATATAAAATGAAAGATTTACAAATAATTATTGAGAGATGGAAATAGTATTAATTATGTATCATACATATCAATTTCGCCTATAGAAAGGACATTTTAATTTCATGTATCCTACAAGTAGTAATGTAGCAAGAGCATTTGGACTCATTAAGATCCACAAAGAAGGCTACCCAAAGAGTCCAATTTTTTCTAGTATAATATAGTATTTTCTAGTGTCTTCTCCAATATTTCAAATATCGAAATTCTTAAACAAATTATTAAAACCTATGTTATTACAAAGTGAATACGATAAATTGTTATAATTTGATAGAAAAATATATATTTATATATAGAACATATCTATATTCCAGAAACATATTTTTTATATTGTGGCAATGTTCCCATCAATACCACATTATTTAATTTTACGAGGAACAGAAACTTTATTGAAAGAAGATAACCTAGGGATTAGTATACTAAAAGAATAAATTTTTACATTTACCAGATACTTGTCAAAAATATTACTTTTAAATTTAACAATAAAACATACCAAAAATTAAGAGGCACTTCTATTGGACGCTGCCTCGGTAGCTTGTTTCAATAAATGGTTATTCTCGACTTCGGTATCTCTTGTAGTATTAGCTGTAATATTATCGTAGAGCCACACATCGCTCTCCCTTCAGACCATCTCCCTTTTCTTTTCTCCCTGAATACATCATTAAAAAAATCGCCCAGTTCAGTCCTACTACCTACAAAAAGTCAACTGACCCCATTTTCAGATACTGATTTCTCGCATCCTGCCAACATTTCCATCGCTGAAAAACTCAAGAAATTGACAGAGCCATTGACTCCCTCACCAGTCTCGATAGTTTAGATCTAACAGCTCCCCCAATACGTCAGCACAACCCGCTACCACATATTCCACCAATCTTACAGAAACTATTATATCGCAAAAGATATATTCGTAATTACTGTCAAAAATATCGTTCCCCCTTCTTAAAATCCTATT